GCGCTGTGTTTTTAGCATTCGCTAAGTGCGCTGTGTTTTTAGCATTCGCTAAGTGCGCTGTGTTTTTAGCATTCGCTAAGTGCGCTGTGTTTTTAGCATTCGCTAAGTGCGCTGTGTTTTTAGCATTCGCTAACTGCGCTGTGTTTTTAGCATTCGCTAACTGCGCTGTGTTTTTAGCTAGTTGTTTTTATTACAATTTTGTGTAAGATACTACTAACTAAAGAAGTTAGTAGTAAAAGTGCTGTAATGTACTGTGTATGTGCAATGTTTTTTTTTTTTTTTTTTAAATAATTTTTCCCTAAATGTACATAACAGCTACTGTAATATTGTAACATAGAATTTACATTGTGTAACCTAGGCCTTATTTAAAGTATTTGACTGGTTGGGATATAGGCACTTTTTGTATAAGGGTCTTGAACGTATAAGGTTTTACGGTACCTTGGTGGGTTGAGGAGTCGTTACATTTAATGAAATGTGATAGGAAAACTCTGCAGTGCAAGTGTTAAAGATCTGATGTCGCAGCCTTTTCAGTTTACTTGCGTAGGTTGTTAGCAGCACGCTGTAAATCACCGTTCTCCGATGCATCTTCCCACCCTGCAGTATCGTGGCCTTCAGGAAGTCCAACAAAATCGGCTTCTTCATCAAGGTGACGCCACAGCGCGATGACCGCGATGTCACGGTGTCCTTCAAGATCCGCCACGATTTCCGCAACCTGTCGGCCCCCATCAGGCCCAGTGAGGAGGGCGAGCCGCCCAGCGAAGCCGTCTGGCTGACCCACCACGTGGAGCTGAGCCTGGGACCTCTAGCTCCCTGAGGGGCTATCCAGGACCAGGCACACTGCATCATGCCGTGATTGGGCGATGGAGCATCACATGACACACAGTTACACCACATCACACACTGTAAGAATGTCAGTCAGAATGTTAGTCAGCAAAAGGAACAAGAAACAAACTCTTACTGTTTTATTATTTACTCTGTTGGTTTGGAGGTTAATGTACTGTGACATGGTTAAGTTTGCTATCTTATCTGGAGGTTAATTTGAAATATAAAGACTATTCTGGTCGTGAGATGGCTATTAGACCAATATAACAAAGTAAACATCAAGCTAAAATTTTGAATGCATTACTGATAATATTTGATTTTAAAACAATACTTAACATTTAGTCCAGACATACTCATTTTCAAGGCTGGTCTGGGGTGGAAGAGAAATTGCACTGCCCTTACTGGACAGCAGATGGTGGTGTTACAGTAAGCAGTGAGTATTTCACTGGTGCAGCAATCTTCGGAGAGGTTGCAGGTTTACTTTTCTGCAAAATAAAATGACTGAATCCCAGAAAAGCATGAAATTCACTTAACACAATCGTTGAAGTGAGTCTGGTTTATATCTAATTATCATTCTTAAGTTCACATTAGCTAAGTCAGCAGTGGGCTCACAAATTGCGAATGATGCCTAAGGCCAGCACAGACCACAGCATTATATAGACACGCAGATACTTATCTCAGCCTCATTATGAACAATAGAATTATGCAAATTGACTTCCGTAACTGTAAGGCTTTTTTAATTTATTATTATTATTATTATTTTTTAATGACTGCAGGAATAGTATGGGAAAATCTACTGTGGGTGGTACACAATACAGTGGTATTACTGGGTAGTATATTTAAAACATTTGCATCCCATTTGAAAATGGAGTTTCAGATTTAAGTCCCCACCCCGCCTCCAGATCATGCTTTTTAAAAGGCTTGTGTTGAACATTTCACCCTCACTTTGGAGCACCATAAATACAAATTTCCACTCGGCTCATTTTTTTATTTTTTTTCCCCTCTCCCCCTGTTAGTGGTCTGTGTTTACATAAAAATTCCTATTTTGCAAGTTTGCTGGTGCAAGCTATTGACATTGGAGGTTTTAACAGTTTTGCAGTCTTTTCATGCCTTGTTTGGCATATGGTGGTAGATGTGTGTATATACACCTGAATTTCTACCGTTCTTTGGTATATGTGTGGATTGCACAGTGTTCTCAGGTGACAGTTCCGATGTAGGTCAGGGTCACCTGTACACGCTGTTCTCCATCACCTCTTTGGCACAATGTTTGGAGTACACTGGCTCGACTACAAAGTGACGCACGCATATCCTCACTGTAGAGCATATGTGCAGTGCTAAGATTGTGACCAAACAAGTTATTGTAGTGTAAAAATGTATTAACCTGACTGTAAGTATCTGAGTTTGTATGGTGTCCTGCTTTTGAAGCTTGTGTGATATTTGAATACTCTTTCCAGCTGTACTTTCCCTCACCTTCACAGAACGCTTTCAGTCTTTGCATGGAGATCTTAAAGTGGCAAAAGACGTCCTGTCATGGAACGTCTTTGCATGTCCGCAAATCGGTCCCCGCTCTGCGGCTTTTGCAGTGTTTATTGTACGCTTCGGAGTTCCTGCCTGGCACCTCGTCTATCTTTCAAATAGGTAGTGTTTACCTTTTCGCTGCTCCACGTGGCATCTTATAATGTGTAAATATAAAGGTTGAAGGTTGTTTGAAGAATCAGAACACCCTGTTGCTTTGCCGATTCGTCTGGAAAAAATTTCCAGTGCCCCTCTTTGATCCTTTAATTCGTTTCCAAGTTTTATTGTAACCGCTGCTGGATTAAGAGGACTTTCTCACAGTATGATATCCACTAATCTCTGTGCTTCATCTAAAGTTGCCAGTGGTCTTTGTAGGTCTTTCCTGTAGTTCTACAGTGATTATAATTTAAGAACATGATATCAATAAATATATCGGAGCAAAACCTGTCTCTTTTCTTAAAGATAAGATTTGCGACTAACAAACGGAACAGAACATATGCTGTTTGTGGTGCAGGAAGGCCGATGTTTGCCTGCATAACCACTGAGTAGCAATATTGTACTTTATCGAGCATTCATTGTATGATGTATGTCGAAGGTATTAAATAGTTCTGCAGCTGTAAAGGTATCTGTAATAAGCGAATACGTCTATGTGGTAAACGGTGTCTGTGCTAGGAGTCCATTATTACATGAACTTTGATTGAGGAGGCTGGCATGGATAGTCTCAGGGAACATTAAACTGGGATCTCATACAAAATAGGAAAAAAATGTTTTAAGCAGTACGGCTATTATCTGCAATTTGAGACTTTTCTGGATGCACGGAGCAGAACCTTAAAGCTGTTATCGCAGTTTCAAATCATTATTTTCATGACATTTGATGAATGACTCTGTCAGACGGAGCCTGAATTTTAAGAGCTTTCAATGATGTATGTCATGCTTGGTAATATCCTTCTGTATTTGTCTTTATATAGCTATCAGCCAAGTCACACCACCTCAAATATGGGTCCCAAAACAGTAAATACTTTCAGTTTGAAACTACTTGTATTTTATATGGTTTTCTTGTGGTGTTGTGGATCGTTAAATAGTATTTATGTAATTGAATGAGACTGAAAAAATGTCCTCTCCAAGTAAGAAATGAGGCTTTGGGGTGTGGTAAATCATAAACAAAGCCAGTATTCTTTCTGCTACCTCACATGTGGTGCTGCAGTCCATCTGATTTAATGCTTCCCTTTGAGAAAAATCTGAATTGTACCTCCGTCCTCCATAAAGGAATACATTCGATGAGAGAATAAAACTGGGTGAAGTGGGGAGAGGGTTGTGTTTCTCTTCCTACTAAGAAATATCTAAAATATATCATCTTAAGATGGATGTTAGCTACAAAAACTGAATCTGCTGTCCGATTACTTAAATTCCCACGAGTTAATGTAGAGAACATGAGTGCAGCTGCAATGGCGGACGCCTGGAACCGTTAGCTTACCCTCATCCTGCAGCCACAGCTTGGCTCCTGGCTCCCTTCGCAGTGATAGTTCTGTCGATTCTTCAGATCTAATCCAGATGATTTAAAAGCTCATTCACGTTCAAAAGCTCTGTTCTTCAGTGATCACATGTATGAGTTAATGTGAATTTCATATTCATATGTCAAAGGCCTCTCTTGAACATCTTTGATCCAAGTCGTGCTTTAATGACTTGGGTTTTGTTGGGAATAGAACCCAAATAATTTTGTAACCCACGCGTAGGAAGTTTTGATTCTGTGCCAAAGTAACGTTGTTGTATGCCTGAAAATGATTTTTCCAGAATGAACTAAAAATAACTATGGCTCAATTTAAAAGTGTAAAGTAAAATGTTTCATGACCCATATAGTTGCCTGAAAGTGCAAACATGATGAGTGATTTGCCAGGTTGATTTATTTATTTAAAATACAGTAATTACATAGGAGTACTGAAATCCGCTTTGTTCTAAAAAGGTGGTTATACAGATTAAACACAGGTTAAACAGCACTGCTACAGCATATCCTGTGATGTGAAATATAAGCAAGCTCAACTACACTGCTGATTTCTCTTCTGTATCTGTGGATCCCATATGTCATATATTGTCTGCATGTGTGCATACAGTGACACAGGGAAAAAAGAAAACTAACTCCAAGGAGAAAAGTCAATAAATCAGGCTTTATTAAAGTCTCTGAATGGTGTCTGTGGTACCAGCCATCTTTGTTCTGCTCTGAGTGACTCACGCCAATGAATTACGGAAATGCTGGTGCCACCTGGCTCTGTCTCTCCTTTTAAACTCAATAAAGATTCCATTCTTTTACGATTCAGATGGAGAAGTCTCAAAGCTCAAGGCACTGAAATTTGTTTTCTCAGTCGCTCAAGCTTGAGGTTCTCCAGGTTTTTCTTGCTGGCCTGTGAAAACAATTCTAGGTCTAACGTCCATCTCAGTACAAACTCTTCATCTACACTCTGATGACACACTTCAATGAGATGAAACAGCTACAGAAATATTTGTGTAACTTGCAGCGTAAGGGATCGGTTGTGAATATGAGATCAATTGTATTCAATTTTTTTCCTTTGATAGGACATCTGGGAAGTATTAATAAAGCATAAATTAAAATAATTCATGCACTAGGCAGTCAATCCATGATGCTTATTCTAACGCGTCATCATCAATCTGGATTCTTAGACTGATTATGCATAACAATGAAAGATATATCAGGTAAGTTAAATTAAAACTAATTTAAAGTTTTAAGATCAGTTAAAAATGAGTAATCAATGTATTTGCGATATTTTGTTCTGTTACACTTGAATGTGATATATGTGAATGTGAATGTACTGAGGCACTGTGTTCTGGAAATAAACGCCGTCAAAACGTCAATCTTTTAGAGAAAAACACGGCCATTGCCGGTTGTTAGGTCATGGACAAAGGGGCATGCTATGATGCATTTTCCTTTCAGGCCTTTGGGCCTTACAGAGACAACAAGCACAGATTATTCTTTGTTTCCTGTTGCTATTCACCAGACCATCATCTAGCTAATTACGGGCAACTGATAACGTGAATCCTGGCAGGATGTGATCTTTGAAATCCACCCCTGAGAGTGAAATGTCAGTCCTCACAAGGGAGCCGCAGTTCTGCTAAGACTGGAGGGTAGGTGAAAAGGATAACTTGGCCGAAGCAGCTGTGTTATGTCGGGCTGACATAAACACAGAAGATGGCCGCGTCATTGTTTTTCATTCTGTTTGACCAACTTTACCTGTCACTATGCTCAAAAAATCAGAACCAGAGAACTCTGAGGTTATAAAAACATTTAAATCATAAAGGGCACAAAGAT